TGTCCACTGTACTAGTTAACCACCCTGTGTCCACTGTACTAGTTAATTACCCTGTGTCCACTGTACTAGTTAACCACCCTGTGCCATCCTCCACCCCCTTTCCAGGCTCTAGCAGCCACTATTTTCTACTTCTTTGAGGTCGGGTTTTTAGCTTCCACATTTAAGTGAGCATATATAATACATATCTTTCTATGCCTGAGTTATTTCAGTTCAACCTAATGTCTGCCACTGCCATCCATGTTACTACAAATGACAGAACTGTTATGTGTGAATAATGTTTCATTGTGTATGTGTGCCATATTTTTATCTCTTCTACTCAAATTTCAAACATAGATAGATAGATTGATAGATAGATGGATGATAGGTAAGTAGATGGATGGATGGATGAATAGATAGATGGATAGATGATAGATAGATGGATGGGTGGGTAGATAGATTGATGATAGGTAGGTACATAGATAGGTAAATGGATGATAGGTAGATAGATGATGATGATGATAGATAGATAGATAGATAGATAGATAGATAGATAGATAGATAGATAGATAGATGACAGATAGACGATAGAGATAGAATTTATTTCTGCATGGATGTGTGTGGATGCACTGTGGAGGTCAGAGGGAAGTTTGCAGGAGTGAGTTCTCTCCTTCCATCATATGGATCCCAGAGAGGGAACTCAGGTCATCAGACTAACTGGCCAGTGCTTTATACTCTGAACATTTTGTTGGCCCATCTCAAACTTCCTGACAGCCAGTGATGAGTGTTCTGTGTCTTTGAAGAGGGAGACCTATGGGCCACATCATTCCTTAGCAGCTTCCACTTTCTCCCCCAGTCTTTATCCTCAGATCAGTTCCAGTGTGTTCTCCTATTCTGAGCCCATCAGGAGACAGCTGAGCACACGTGCCTGAGATCACTTCTGAGCCAAAGAATTCGTTGGCCCCAGTGTGTCCATTAATTGTGAGCTGTGCGGCGGCAGTGGCCAGAAAACTGCCGCATTTCTCACAGACTGTAGGACCTGCTTTTCTCTTTCTGAAAGCACAAAAACTCAGGGTCAGAAGTGGAATAGACTTTCCCTGTTTCTTCTTCATTTTCTTTTAGGTGGGAAACTTCCAGCGACAATTAGCAGAGGCTAAAGAGGACAACTGCAAAGTCACCATCATGCTGGAAAATGTGCTGGCTTCTCACAGCAAGATGCAGGGGGCGCTGGAGAAAGTCCAGATAGAGCTTGGGCGGAGGGATTCCGAGATCGCCGGCCTCAAGAAGGAAAGGTACCGCATTTCTGTTTCTGCCGTGTCATGTCGAGGAAGGACATGAGGCTCTTGACTTTGAAAAACTGCTAAAATATAGTGTTTTAAGAACTAGCAGGTTAGGGGCTAAACCACAGGCAGGAAGCTTTCTAAGAAGTTCAAGTTGCCCATCTTAGAGTGGCATGAAAAAAAAAAGTGTGTCCTCGAACGTCATGGACCTTTTTTTTTAATATCTTTTTTTTTTTTTTAAAGATTTATTTATTATGTATACAGTATTCTGCCTGCATGCCAGAAGAGGGCGCCAGATCTCATTACAGATGGTTGGGAGCCACCATGTGGTTGCTGGGAACTGAACTCAGGACCTCTCTGGAAGAACAGCCAGTGTTCTTAACTGCTGAGCCATCTCTCCAGCCCCGTCATGGACTTTTTTAACCTTGCTCCTTTCTGCACCATTTAAGCCTAATTCTGTCCAGCTCTGCAGAATATTAATTCTCCAGAAAACTGAAGTTGAACTAGAGAGCTAGAGATCAGCCTCAGTGATAGAACACTTGTGGAGCGCGCGCGCGCGCGCGCGCACACACACACACACACACAAACTTGAAGTAAGCAACTTATTCATTTATTGCAATATTATTTCAAGATTAATAATTATTTTAGGTGTTAATCATCCTGAGAATTATTTTTAGCTGTGTTTTATTAGTGAACGTCCTTCAGTGTTTCCAAATTACATAAAATGAAAAGTAATAATTAAAATATTACCTTTAATATTTTTGGGGGGCTAAGGAAAAATGGTCTGAGGCTGATAGTGCCTCTGGAATATATTATGTATATTACTGGTTCATATTGCTTCTATGTTATGAGAAAACAAGTGAATTGTATCTTCTTCAATGAGCTTATCTTTATTTTTACATATTATAAAAGTGTAAAATTAATATGTATTAAATATATTTATAAGTATATAAATATAAATATTATATATTAAATGTATTAATATATTACTTTAATTTTTTTAAAGCAAGAGGCTAGTATATAAAATACTGTTTACTTGTCACAGTACATTTCAACATAGCTATTATGTTTAGAAGCAAAATTTTCAACAGCTATCCAAACCCTACGCAGCTGGTAAAGCAATATTCTAACTGCCATCCCAGAAGTCAATCAAAAACATGGATTCATAGCCTAATGAGTAAGCCTGATTGAGTCACACATGGGACAAGAGTTTTAATTCCTTATGAGCCTGCCTTTCTTGTCCTGAAGATGAAGCAGTCATTGTTATTTATTAACACTCTTAGATTTTGAGCAGATGTAGATACTTTGGAAGCCATCTGAGCTTCCAAGAGAAAGGTGTCCTGGTACTTTCAAGTGATGTCATAATTTCTGTGCCCTTCTTTAGTCATTTCCTATACTTTCTATTTTTAGGTCTCTAAATCAACAAAGAGTCCAGAAGCTTGAAGCAGAAGTGGACCAGTGGCAAGCCAGGATGCTGATTGTGGAGGCCCAGCACAGTAGTGAGGTAGAGGCCAGGTGACAGAGCTGGCCACGCTGATCTGCTCAGTTTTATTGGGACATTGCTATTTTAGAAAATTGAAATGAAACAGAGAAAGTTCCTTTTCATCCAATTAAGAGTCTTGGACAGTGACATATTTATGAATAAGAAATAGGTAATGAATTATAGTTTTGACTGATTTTTTTTCTCTTACATTGTCCACAGTCTTCCCATTTATCAATGCAGAGGTTATTTCAGGAGTTAAATGCCTTAGAAAACAGCCTATAATCTCAGCTAGGTGGTGACACTATTAGTGATCAGGTGTGCATGCGCGCACGCACGCGCACACATACACACACACACACACACACACACACACACACACACACACACAAGTGCCCGCTAATTATGTGTGTGTGTGTGTGTGTGTGTGTGTGTGTATATATATATATATAATGCAGTGTATAAGCCTTTTAACGTTTGTTTGGAGGCCAGCACACATGTACCATGTGCAGCTTGTGGGAATCCATTCCCTCTCATGGGTACAAGTGACTGAACTCAAGCCAGCTAGCTGGGTGGCAGGTGCCTTCCCCTACTGGGCCCTCACAGTAGCCCTTAAATAAGCCTGGTTTGGGAAGACTATACAAGGAATAGTTGCCGGTTTTAGTCTCCTAGACAATGGGACCAGAAAGTGATATAATCAGTAAGAGAACAGTTTAACTGGTTAAACTCCTGAAAATCAAGATCTGTAAGCTGGTTCTTATTTTCTAGTGTTCTCTGCTCTCCAGGACGTGGCCTTCTGGGAGACTCTTAAGCAATGTCTGTCATAAGTTGTTTGTTTGTGTATTATAGACTTTACCTAGAGTGTCTCTAGTTCCAGCTGGTCATTTCTGTGGCACTTTAGAGAGTAAGGAGTAAAGCTGTTCTACCAGCTGCCCTGGACTTACAGGTGCCCTTCTCCCTTTCAGATGGAGCCGCTACAGAAGTCTCTGGACATAACTAGAGAGGACAACAGGAAACTGGCCATGAGCCTAGAGCAAGCTCTCCAGACAAATGGCCATCTGCAGTCTAAGCTAGATAACATCCAAGAAAAATTGGAAAGCAAAGAATTTGAGCGGCAGAATTTAGAAGCCTTCAAGTAAGTGCCGTACATTCACGGTGAAATTGGGGGTGAGCCTCTGGAGGCGTAAGTGGCTTGTTCAGATAAGGTAGGGGAGCCCTTTCTCTTCCGTGGCAAGCGAGTGGGCATAGCTGGACTGTAGCAGGTAACGGCACCTGAGCGTGCCTGTGTGGTCTCCCCTTCTTCCTTGTCTGCTTCAAGCTGATTCTTTGTGAAGTTAACCCAAAATGTAAAGACTACTGCAAGGGACACTCACATGTTTCTGCCAGGCTTAAGCCATCCTCTCAAAGCATGATTTGAGCCAGGTGTGGAGGCACTCACTGATAGATAGTTCAGCACTTAGAAGGCTGAAGCAGGGAGACCATGAGCTTGAGGCCAGCCTGGGCTACATAATAAGATCCTGTCTCAAGCAAACCAAAGCCAGGGCTGAGAGAGATGGCTGAGTGGGCAGAGGCAGCTGTGTGGGCCTCATGACCTGAGCTCAGTCCCCAGTCCGACCAGGCAGCAGGGAAGAGCCAGCTCCCACGAGTTGTCTGTCGTCCGACATGTGTGTATGGTGCACGTGCACATGCACACACACTTATAAATAAAAATTGAGGAAACCAGCCGGGCGGTGGTGGCGCACGCCTTTAATCCCAGCACTCGGGAGGCAGAGCCAGGCGGATCTCTGTGAGTTCGAGGCCAGCCTGGGCTACCAAGTGAGCTCCAGGAAAGGCGCAAAGCTACACAGAGAAACCCTGTCTCGAAAAACCAAAAAAAAAAAAAAAAAAAAATTGAGGAAACCAAAATAAATAATGCAGATTTGGGCAAGGAATCACAGTGGATCTACCCACGCAGGAATGGGATGGCTACGTGTAAGCAGATGATAACCTGGCATTTTAATTTTTGACTAAAACTGGTTATACCAAACCATGAAAGTTTTGTTACAAACGGCATGTTGATAAATATGATTTAGACACTAATATCGTCCTGTGGATGTTTCTGCTTAGGGAAACATGCACAGAACCTCATTCTTGTCACTGGTGCACATGCCAGTGAATGCAGGATCAGGGAGGAAGCTAAGGCTAAGGAGGTACTTTCCATAAACAAAATCTGACTTGGGGGTCAGAGGTTCCTGCCACAAGGCTGTGCAGTATTGGCTAAAACAATACTGTTTGTATAGTAGCTAGCAGAATCATTTAAAAATCCATCTGGGTCAGATAAATTATTTAAATTTACCTGTAGTAGGAAGTTTTCCTGTGTCCTGCCCGGTCCCATAGCCACTCAGACCCAAATAAACACACACAGGCTTATATTATTTTTAAACTATGACCATGGTAGGCTTCTTGCTAGCTAGCTCTTGTATCTTAAATTAACCCATTTCTATAAATCTATGTTTTGCCATATGTTCTGTGGCTTTACCTGCATCCCATTACATGTTGCTCCTTGGGCATCTGGCTGGTATCTCTCTAGACTCACCTTTTTCCTGTCTCTCTACCTGGATTTCCTGCTTGCCTCTAAGCTGCCTTTCCATAGTCCAAAGCAGCTTATTTATCAACCAATCAGAGCAACACACATTCACAGCATACAGAGCGACATTCCACAACACTTCCCCTTTTTTGTCTAATCAAAAATGAAGGTTTTAACTTTAACATAATAAAATTACATATAATAAAACAGTTATCAAGCAAGAATTTACTTAATAATATCTAGTCTAAGCCGGGCGTTGGTGGCGCACGCCTTTAATCCCAGCACTTGGGAGGCAGAGTCAGGCGGATCTCTGTGAGTTCGAGGCCAGCCTGGGCTACCAAGTGAGCTCCAGGAAAGGCGCAAAGCTACACAGAGAAACCCTGTCTCGAAAAACCAAAAAAAAAAAAAAAAAAAAAAAAAAAAAATCTAGTCTATTTGTATTTGACAAAATTAAAGAAAATATTCTACCTGTATTTGTGAGTCTAAGGTTTCATGTTTAATTTATCTTTTATCATAACCAAGGAAAATCATAATTATCTAGTCTTCAACTACATCAGAGATCCCAGAAGGATATAATATTACCTAAGTAAACAAGAAGTTCATTGTAAGCAACTTTCAAAATTCTAGAATGACAGAGACAGCTGTCTGCCTGGACAGTCATCCAGAGTTCCTCTGCAACATTGGGGCATCCATCTTCAGCCCACAGGCCTAGAGTCTCTCAGTTGCTTATTCCTATGTCCTGTAGAATGTCTGGCAGTTTCTTCTGCAAAGCAGGAACATGAAGGACCATCTCACCTGGCAAAGTTCAGTGATCACCTTTCTATGGGTCCTGCATGTCCAGTTTATTATCAACCAGTCATTGCGAGGGCATTTTTTTTGCCCAGTGTCCACAAAGAAAGCAAATTCCATAATGAGTTTCTTCAGTGCCCATTATCTTCTCTGAAGTAGATTGGTGTTGCCAGGAGCAGATGTGTCTCATTGTCCAAAAAAAGTCTAAGTTTTTAAAACATTTTAAATGCCATATTCTGTAGGTCTTTGAAGTGTTTGAAGATTACCTACCTAATTGAATTATATCTATGTATACCTAGAAAACTTAACATGACTATAAGTTTGACTATCATAGAAGACTAATTATTAATCTGTATTTCTCAACTATACATTACAATTTAAATGAGTTATATAAACATAATACCTTAAACAAGAGTAGAAATATATATAGTATAATAAAATTAACTTTAAATTTATATTAATAAACTAAAATCCATAGCAATGTAAAATATTTTAAGCAAGTTGTTTTTTAAAAGTAGATTCAACAATCTACCCTTTTATCCTATCATATCTATATCCTATATGTCTATATCATATCCCTTTTCTTCTTTTAAAAATAGATTGACTATGACCAATAACAATTTGTAACCAACAACCTAAGCAAAGACAAATATCCATAATCCATTTTTTGGGAATGTGGACCTAGTTTTCTAGGCTACTTCCTGCTGATAAAGAACGCTGTTGGTTTTTGTTTGTTTTTGTTTTTGTTTTGGGGTTGGTTTTTTGTTTTTTGTTTTTTTTGAGATGGGGTTTCTCCGTGTAGCTTTGGTGCCTGTCCTGGATCTCACTCTGTAGACTAAGCTGGCCTTGAACTCACAGAGATCCTCCTGGCTCTGCCTCCCAAGTGCTGGGATTGAAGGTATGTGCCACCACTGCCAGCAAGGGCACTGTATTCTTATGGGGATCCTGAGAAAATTAAGAATTATGGTCAAGTCATGGGAAGACTGATTATAACCTTTGTTGACAGGTACCATCTGTTAAGGTTCAGGAGGTCTGGCTTGATCAAATCTGATCCATCTTAACCTGGAACAAATCCATAGCTTCTTGATTCCTGTAGAAACAAAAACAGAGCCTCCTATCTATCCAAAGTAGCATATCCTTAGATCCAAGTTTTGAAGTCAAAATACCTTTAAAATATACATATTGATTTAACTGACCAGCCTTTACTGTTTTGAAGTTATTTCAATCAAATATCTTTCTGCAGTTAAAAATATCAAAGACAACACAATCCAGATTCTGTGTGTAATATCCATCTTTATGTGGCTTGTTTCTTTTTATATATCTTTACTGTCTCTTTAAAGACTTTATTTTTTAAAACTCTTTCTTTCTTTGTATAACTGCATATACTCCTTTTCCTCTCTCTTCCAAGCCTACGCACATTTTTACACACACTGTAAGCTGTTTAGGGTTTATCCTATCTGAATCTGTCTTATTGTGAATCTATTGCTTTGAACTGCAGCATGATTAGGAGTGAAATGGCAGCTTTGGCTGCTGGCTCTGCCCACCTCAGCTTGCCAAGGTGGCAGAACTACATTATGGTGATATTTTATTTGTACTGAAAGGTTATTTTAATTTTATGTTAATAAATAAAGTTGCCCTGGGGTCAGAGCTATTAGAGCCATAGCAAGAGCGTGGTGGTTAGAAGAGCTAGGTAGATTTGTGTGTTCAGGGATACAGCCAGTATTGGAGACATACGCCTTTAAGACCTGGAGGGCGGTACTTACAGGCAGTGACGAGGCAGTCATGTGGTTGGGTTTACAACCAATGAGAAGGCAGAACAGAAAGACTATTTAAACACAGACAAACAGGAAGTAGCTCTCTCTCGGGGAAGCTAGGAGCACTGCAGGAGGTAAGATTTTATCTCTGAGCTCTGACCTCTCGGCTTTCTCTTTTACATTGGCTCTGTGTTTCTTATTTTAATAAGACGATTGGTTACATCTACACTACATTACCACCAGCTGTGGGAGACCCATGCTCACTGCCGACTAGGGGAAGCAGTGGGTCTATGCTTCCATCCAACAGCATGTAGCCCAAAACCTTTTTTTTTTTTGTACTAGCAAAAGCTGAGTCCACCACACAGCGTGCTGCATGGCTTGCAGATACCACAGTGTACAGTGGCAGGAATCTGACGTGCTTCACTCAGGCCCGTACGCCATGACTCTGCACGCCACAGCGTCTCCGTACCTTGGTGTCTCTATATCTCGACCCACATGAGACAAGAAGTAGAAAGCTGTTTTTGGCTCCATTGTTGTGTGTTTAGAAGCCCTTTTTAAACTCTTTTAGGCCTTATGGAAATTGGAGAGCCCCTTATTGATACGCCAAATGTAGCTAGAAGTTTTTCTGTGTCCCAACTGCAGACCCACAGTCCTGCAGCCTTTTATAAAATAATCACACAGAGGCTTCATATTAATTATAAGTGCTCAGCCATCGGCCCAGGCCTACCATTGACTAGCTCTTATAATTAAACTCATCCCATTTCTGTTAATCTATATGTTGCCACATGTTCCATGGCTTTACCTGTGTGCCATTACATGCTGCTCCCTGGACAGTGGGCTGGTGTCTCCTGACTCAGCCTTCCCCTTCCCAGAATTCTCCTTGTCGGCTTATCCCGCCTATACTTCCTGCCTGGCTCCTAGACAATCAGTGTTTTATTAAACCAGTGTACAAAAGCATTATTCCACAGCATTTACTTAGTAAGTCATTCCTATCCCTGAATAGCCTGAAAATTCTTCAGGTACTCTGTGTTTTCTATTAATTTGTTTGTTTTGTCCTATCCAGGTTGGTTTGTTTTTATTTTACAATTATTTTTCTTTGTTTGTTTTCTTTCTTTTTTTTTAAAGATATATTTATTGTGTATACAGTGTTCTGTCTGCACATATCCCCGCAGGCTAGAAGAGGACACCAGATCTCATTACAGGTGGTTGTGAGCCACCATGTGGTTGCTGGGAATTGAACTCAGGACCTTTGGAAGAGTAAGCAGTGATCTTAACCTCTGAGCCATCTCTCCAGCCCCCTCTGTTTGTTTTCTAATAAGAGAAAGCAAGAAATGTAGATTTGGGTGGGTGGGGAAGTAGGGTGATCTGGGAGGAAGTGAGGGAGGGGATAATAATCAGAATAAATTATATGAGAAAACTATTTTCAGTTTAAAAAGACAAAAGTATCCCTCTCACAGTTGCTAAAATTGTGGCAAGGTAAATGACAGGGAAAGAGTAAGGTGAAACCCATAAGCATTTGCTTCCGAATAGGACTTTACCTATCACTATAGCTCCTACTTTCATCAAAGAATCCTACCTCACTTGAGACTTACCAACCTCTTGATGTTGTACAAATTTGTGCTAATTTGTGTGCACACTTCGGAAGAAAGATCAAGCCTGGGAGATTATGTTTTAGATGCATTGGTTTTGAGATGTATTTGTGAGATGTAGAGATGCAGGTTAGTTTTGAAAAAAAGTTTACAAAGATGAGAGCTGATGTACTGAAGTGCATCGTCTTCAAGGGACAGTAGGGGAGGATGGAAGTCACAGGGGGGTGGTGGCTCTACCGGACGGAGATGGAGCCTTGGAGCGTGCAGCTGCTGTCTCCCGAGTGTTCTCAGAGGACCATTTCAGTAGCTCTGCAAGTTTACACAGAACAAGACCCTTCTAGAGCTCGAAAATTCCTGACCGTATAGAAGCAAAACTCAGCTGGCGAGGAGAGGCAGGCAGGAGGACTCTGAGAAGATGAAGGCTCAGGCTGTGTGTGAAGAAGAGCGCTTCTGCTGCTGTCCTTCCGGGGTCTACAGGAGAGCTTGGGCTCTGATCTGAGGGTGGAGAGAAGCGCCCCACTGAACTCAGAGATTCAAGAGTGGAGGGGTTGTCACTGAGTGTGAGGCTAGGCGAGGATCCTGTGGAGTGTTCCTTCTACAGTAAGGAGAATTGAAGCTATGTCTACACAAGTGGCAGCAGAAATGAACCCTGGAGGGAAGAATTACACTGACATTAAGAGCTGGTGCAATGATTCAACAGGTAAAGACTTTGGCTGCCAAGCTTGAAACCCGAGTTCAGTCCTTGGGACTCACTTGTTAGAAGAGATCAGATTCCTGAAAACTGTACTCTGGCCTCCACATGAGTGCTGCGGGGACACACACACACACACACACACACACACACACACACACACTTATAAATGTAAGTTTTGAAAGTAAAGGCACCCACAGGTACAGAGATGATGCAGTGAAGTTACCTGTCAGGACCATGAGAGGTCCAGGAGCTGAGAGTGGGGTGGAGTCACATTTCTGCCTCAGTTGCCTCCTGAGCACACGGTGCCCATGCTACCACACGGACAAATGGAATCCATTAGCAGAGGCTTTTCTGGAGGCACATGAGTGTGGACACACAACCCAAACACACAGAAGGCATGCTCAGCGAGGGAAAGGATGGCAGGCCGGGCCGTGATCCACCTACTCTGAGAAATAAGGTAACTCAGGAGCGTCCCGTGCTGAGTCATTACCACCCTGCTCGGTCTTAAGGCAGGAAGGAGTCATTGCTTAAGTTCATGGGTGTTCAACTTTCACATGTCTTTGTAAGAGTAAAAAATTATAGACGCCGCATGAACTTTGCTTATCATTTCAGGGAATTTCTGCATTCTCAGAAGCCTAATCATGGATCTTAACCAAAGAACCCAAACTGGAATGCTGATCAGATGAAAGGCTCTCGCTTCAAAGAAAAGGAAGCAGTATAATTAGCAACTTAAACCTAAAACACTGGTTATCAGTCTGTGTGTGCGACCCCAATGAGGGGGGGATTCAGACAACCTTTTCACAGGAGTCACCTAAGACCATCAGAAAACACAGAAATTTACATTACAGTTAATGAGGTAGCAAGGAAAATAATTTCATGGTTGAGGGTCACCACAACATGAAGAACTGTATTAAAGAGTCACAGCATTAGGAAGGTTGAGAACCACTGACCTGGAGAGTAAAGAGCTAATATCAGACAAAACAAAACAACAATCCTCTCGTGTTGATTGTACCCTCTGCTGTTTTCCTGCTCTGGGCTGAATCCCGTTGAACAGAGTGAGGTTTGGTTGAACACCTCAGGTAATGACAGGCTCCTCTTCCCTCGGTTCTCAGCGGCTGCTCCTGAGGTTGACTGGGGGCCGATGAGCCGCTCATTGTAAATCACACACCTTTGAGAGAGTTGCACATTCCCCTGAAAACCTTTCTTGACTCTTAAGATAAATTTTAAAGTGAATTTATCATGCTTCCTCCCAGAGAGCGGATTGCTGAGGAGTCCAAAGTGGAAGCGGAATTGCATGCGGAGCGCATCGAAGCCCTGAGAAAGCAGTTTCAGGTGGAGAGAGAGACTGCGAAGAAAGCCACACAGAGGGAAGTTTCCGAGGTGAGGACTAGGGCGGAGGTGGAGCCAGTGCACTGCCCGCAGCTGGTCCCTCTGCTCAGCAAGCAGCACACCAACACTTCCAAGAAAGCCGTTTCTGATACAGGGTTCCGGGCCAAGCAGAGGGGTGCCTTAAGAACTTTCCTGTCCAAGGCCTGAGAATTCAGCCACCTGACAGATCTAATCACCTCAGCCCAGGTGCCTCGCCACCCACTGTGTATCTGCTGTCTCTGGAGAGGCACACACACCCAACAGCAGTGGAAGGGCCAGGGATCCACCTTAGTGTGTAGAAGCCTTGCTCAGCTGCATGAGCTCTGACCTCCATCTCCAGCAGCACACATTCCAGGCATTGTGGTGCACAATTGCAACCCCAACACCTGGGAGGTAAAGAGAGGAGAATCAGAAGTTCAAGGTGATCCTCCCCTACAAATTGAGTTCAAGGCCAGCCTGGCCTACATGAGACCTTGCATAAAACAAACAAAAACAACAACAAAAAGCAGCTGTAGAAGATGTGACACATGCTATCTGCATGAGCCAAATAACCCTTGTTTAGTTGTGATTGCCACTCTGGACATGAGAAAAACAGAAGACCTCAGAGGGCTTTTCCTGGATACCTGGAGGCAGTGCACAGTTTTGAAGGGATTCAAGGTATGTGAGGCTGGTTGAGGGTTAGAAGACAGGAAACAGCACACAGCTTTGAGTCTCACAGAGATGCAGGGCTAGGCCTTTTTAAGAGCCTGGGCAAAGCTGAGCTACAAAAATGGAAATCAGGGAAGGAAAGTTATAGATGGGCCACCTGACCTCATGGCCTTGCCTGCTCGACCACTGGCTGTGAATTGTCAAGTGAACGTGAGCACTCTGGAAACAATTTCAAGTTACTGTGGTGACAGTAGGAAGTAGGGGAGAATGAAGAGAGACCGGATGGGGCATAAGAAAGCCATAATACCTTCTGGTATTGACAGTCAGGGCCAAGCAAAACGGTGCTGTTGACAAAGAGAGCAAGTAACTCAGAAGGCTATTTTAATAGAGGAATAAACAGGTAACTGTTGTATACTGAGCATGGAAGAGGAAGGTATAAATTTTTGTGTGCTTTTATTTGCTTTGTTTTGGTTTTGGTGTGGTTTTATTTTGTTTCTTGGTTTTGAGGGGTTTTGTGGTTGTGTTGGGATTTTGTTTATTTATTGAGAAAGAATTTAAAGTGCAGTGGGTCAGGAGGGGAGAAGATCTGGAAGGACTCGGGTAAGTAGAAGAATATGATCAAAATGTATTTAAATTTAAAAATTGTTTTAAGTAATAAAAAATATAACAGAAAGTAGTAAACATACTCAAGACTTGAGGTGAATTGTGTTTTAACAAATTTGATACATTTAGTAATTGTAATTGACAGGTCCAGTTAACACGTTAACTTCAACTAATATTTATAAAAGTTTTGTGACCTGCAAACCACTGTATAAATATGTTATAAAAAGCAAGTTCTATGGGAAACAAATAGGTATCCTAAATGTAAACAATACCATTGTTTAGAACTTATTGCTCAGAACACATAGAAAAATGAAACCTGGGGCTGGAGAGATGGCTCAGAAGTTAGGAGCACTTCTTGATCTCACTTAGTACCAGAAATGTGTTCCTGGTGCCCATATGGCTCATGGCCTCCCCATCATTCCCATTGGAGGGGATCCAGTGCCCTCTCTGACCTTATTGGGGATGAGGCACATGTGGTATACATATATACAGGCAGGTGAAACACTCAGACACATAAATTAACCTCAATGTAAAATGCTGAAACCCTAGAGGAAGCATCTGTGATAATGGTGACCTGTGAGGGAACCTGGTGACAGAATGTGTCATTGGTGTGGTGCGTAGTTCAGAGCATTGCTGACTCCCAGCCCTGCCTGTATTAGCTACGTATTCATTCTTTCTATGTGGCTTGACTTCTGAACCCATTTCCTCTGTCATAAAATCAAGGTCATCACCACTACTTTTCAGGTTTGTTTAAAGAGTTAACTTGGACAGCATCTGTGCCACATGGCCAAGCATAACTAGACGCTGGTGTTAGTCTGCCTTGAGGCCGTGGTGGAGTGGGTCATAGATGGCAGTGATGGCAGCAGAGGGTGTGCTGGACCAGTAAGGTCTAAAGACAGAACCCTGTGGTGAGAGCAAGGGCAGAAAGCTCTGACTGGGTGTGTCAGACACCCCCAGCCGTGAGGAGCCTTCCCTCTGCTCCTCCCCTTCAGCTCCTCTTTAAAACTCAAGTTGTGTGAATTTAAAGGAACATTGTGAGGACTAGGACAATGCAAAGTCGTTCATCATATTACTTTTCCATGAGACAAAATTACTAAAGTGCTTTCAGAACAAGAAGCAACACCATCAAATGCATGCAATAGTAGTGAACACCTGCCAAGTGTATGCAACTACTCTAAATTTATTTTCAGTTTTAGAGCCATGAGACAACAAGAAAACGATTGTAGTGTGGTAGTAATCTGAGCGATGACTGTGTACCAGGTGCTGTTGGTTGTTCTTTACTCTTACCCTTTGCTCTTGGGGGGCCCGCCACCCAGTTCCCAAATGAACACTCGGGGACTTACTCTTACTTACAAATTCATGGCCTTAGCTTGGCTTGTTTCTTGCCAGCTGTTCTTCAATTATCCCATCTATCTTTTGCCTCTGGGCTTTTACCTTTCTCTATTTCTGTGTACCTTTCTTTACTTCTTACTCCGTGGCTGGCTGTGTGGCAGGGTGGCTGGCCCCTGGTGTCCTCCTCCTTTTCTCATACCTTGATCTTCCCCCCAGATTTCTCTTCACATTTATTCTCTCTGCCTGTCAGCCCCATCTGTCCTTTCTCCTGCCTAGCTATTGGCCATCCAGCTCTTTATTAGACCGGTCAATTGTTTTAGACAGGTATCTCAGCTTCACAGAGTTAAACAAATGCAACATAAAAGAATGTAACACCCCAGTTCCTCAGTAGCAGCTCAGTCCTGCTAGAGAAGAGTAGCCCGGCTCCTTCCAGGACTCTTTATCTTTTGGGCGCGACATAAATCGAGGTGCAAGAAGAGAGGAAAATCTTCAGATACCTACAGGATTAATTTATTCAAAAAAGAAACACTCAACATGCAAAAGTCTTGTGACGAGAACGAAGGAACAGCCCAGAACACACCAAAGGCAGATGAAGGCCATCCTTCAGAAGATCCACCACAGCAGGCAGGAGAAAATCCTGAGGCTTCTGGAGAAAGTGGGGGGGAGGAAGCAGATGGGAGCCTTAGAGGAGAGCCTGCTCAACCCGGCCTGGAGCCTAAAGAGGACACTCCCACAAGGCATCTGAACCCTGAAGAAGTGATAAGAGGAGTAGATGAGTTGGAAAGGCTTAGGGAAGAGATAAGAAGAGTAAGAAACAAGTTTGTGATGATGCACTGGAAGCAAAGACATTCCCGAAGCCGTCCTTACCCTGTGTGCTTCAGGCCTTGAAAGCTTTTCTTTCTGAGATTGAAATCTGGCTGCTGCTTTCTTTCTCTTAGCATTTTCTGATGTATCTTTGAACTTCATTTTACTTTTAATTACCTATCTGGTATTTTCTTTTAGATAGTTTCGTTGTTACCAGCATCTCATTGGATTTTGGATTTTGACCCATTTTCCACGTTTATTTTTCAGTTGGAAAGTGTCACACTTGTGCATGGAAATGTGTTCATTCCATATTATACAATTAAAAAGCAGCATATTTAGTATCAGCTCACATATATAGGAGAATTCCTAATTATGTGTGTACATGTATAATTATACGTATCAAAAAACTTAACAGTGCTTATTTTTGTGTGGTGTGTTTTAATTTTGCCTTTTGCTTCTGTGTATTTTTTAATGAATATGTGTCTCACAAAGAACTGCAGATTTTTTAATAAGTGGGAGTTAATTAAAATTAATTTGTAACCAGCTTGTAGAGGCAATAAAGGCACTAGACTTGATGAAGAACTATTAAAAAGAAATGTAAACCTGGAATTAACCTCTGGATTTCTTAGCCAGAGGAATAAAACTGGCAATCATTATAGATACATGTGCTTAAGACTTGGTCTTTTCATGGGGAAAATACTTGCCTCACAGAGATCTGTGGGGAACATTGGTGTGCCATATTTGAGGAAGTATAT